TAATTATAACATAATGTCTAGTGAATGGTCTTATTCGTTATGGAACAATTTTGCTTTGCTCTACTTTCTGTCTAATTTTTATGAATTTTGGAACTCTTTTGCATAGGGATTTGTTTTTCTTTTTAATTTTTTTAATTTTTTTTTATCGTTCAAAAATATTATTTAAAAAAAAATAAAGCCATAAAAATAACCTAATATTAAAATTTCATTAATACCGTTAAATAATTCAAAAATATTTTTACTAATAGTACTATATTTAAAATAAAAAAAATACTCATAAAATTTTAAAAGTAACGTTAACTCCATTTGCATTTATAATAAAAAAAATTTAAAAATCTAATTGACAATATATGAACGAAAACCGTAATTACGTCGATATCTCTAGATCATCTACAAATATTTTAATGTTACTCTAGAAAGCCTATGAATATTTTTTAATTTTGTATTTTAGTTTAAGTATATTACTAAAAAAAAATTAATTTATTAATTTAAACTTATTTTATAATATCAATATTTGTAGTAAATTTTTTAGCATGACTTTAGAAAAAAAAAAACAATTAGTGTTGAGACATTAATATTAATAATTTATTATTGATTGTTAATGAATATATTAAATATTTAAATGTTTGTATGGGAAATCCACACTAATTAATAATTATTAATTAAGAAAGCTGTAAGTACCGATTTAAGCAAAGAAAAAGAGTGAGTCAAAAAAGCAAAGGCAAGGGGGTGGGTTGGCTGTGGGCGCACGTGCCGCGGCGTACCCTCCGAGTGCATCAGCCATGCACACTAAAATAATTTAACCCTCAATTACTTTATTTACATAATTAATTCTCTTACCTTACTTTTTTTAATCTTCATCTCTAATTCTTCCTGCATTATAATATTAAATATTAACCGACAAAATATGATACCAATATGCATTATTTTAACTCTCATTTTTTTTTATTATTTCAAACTTTAAACCCATTAAAAATCAAATTAAACAGTATTTCACTTATTCAACATTATATTAATTTATTAATATACTAATATACTCCACGATAAAATGTAGTCGAAAACTCAGTTAGGCATTATTTGTAATGACTTTTTACTTGGGTGGTAGAGGAGTTTCTGTCATAATAAGTTCCTGAAGACTCAACTCTTTTTCAAGCCGCTCATTTGCTCCTATGGCCTAATCACTTTGTGAATGTTTGATTAATCCACCACATCTAAATGGTGTGAAAGTTATCTTATTTATAATCAAATGAATTATAAGGATATGGAAATAGTAATAAATGGAAAGATACGTATGATAATAAGGCAAATATCTAATATTTGTCTTATAATAAAATATCAAATATAATATATATGGTAAACTATAATTTATTACTAAATATCCTTAACACACTTAATGGTCGACTAAACTTATAATTTAAATTTTATTATATTTATTATGACATACTCTAAAATTGAGTGCATTGAAATTTAGAAAATGAATTAAAATGTTAAAATAAATAAATTAAAAGAAAAAAGAAATGAATCCGGGAGTGGAAGAGAAATGAAAAAGCGGTATTTGAAGAGAGAAGCAGTTCCCAATATTCGCTGTCACTGCCCATCGGTACTCATGAATATCAACCCCAAAGATGCTTTTTCTCCTTCTTCTTCTTCTTCTTTTTTTTTTTCCCTCTCTCTCTCTCTCTCTCTCTCTCTCTTCTTCAGTTCTTCAGTTTTTTAATGCAGCCTTCTCTTATTATAATCCCCAACCCTTCCTTCCTTCATCATCGTTTTAAAAATCCAAGAAATGCCTCTGATCAACATCAATTTCGATTCCATTTTTCTTTTTATTTTATTTAATTCGCGCAGAGGACAGAGAAGCGGACTTCAGATTTAGACCAGATTCCACATTACTTACTTACTTATTCATCCGCAAACCACGATCCATCCATCGTCCTTTCAGACACCATTCCAGATCGAACCATTTCCCGATCGACAAACCTCGCCGCCTTCGTCTCCTTTCCGGTCAGTTTTCCGATCGCTCTGTTTCTTTTTTTTTTTTTTAACGATTTCGTTCAATTGTTAGGTTTTCGTGTTTGTGCGTTGAATTGTGAATGAGATTTGTTTCTGAGGAACATTTTTGAATTTCAAATGAAATTCAAATTTCGTGAGATTGTTTCTGTTCTTTGCATCTTTTTTGAATTTGTGGTGTTTGGATGTTGGAGTGTTTTCTTCTCAAATATAGAAATGCTTGCCATGTCCAATCAAATTTTTTTTCTACATTTTTAATTATTCGACCATTTTTTTTCTTATTTCCTTTTTTTTTTTTTTCCTTGTTCAATTACTCTTGAGGCGCTATATAAATATTTCGGTATTTTGAAAATCAAACCCATTAAATTTGTTTTCTTTTTATATTTTATGTAGGAGTATTTCTTCTCAAAAATAGAAATACTGCCCATATTTTTTTTTTCTATATATTTGTTTATTGAATAAATATGTAATTTTGAATGCAAAAAATTCATTAATACCATTCAACCTTGTTAAAAAAATTTAAAACTGTGTACTGCATCTAAAAAATAAAAAATATTAATGTAGTATCAATATCTTTACATTTATAAATAAAAAATAAAAAAAATATTATTAGATTATTTTTAAGCTTTTTAATGTTAGTAATTGTGGTTATATATTTAAAAGTTTAAAGACATTTTAAATATTTTAAGAAAATAAAAATTCAAGTATATTTTTGGAATATTTTTGAAACTTTAAGTTCAAAGTGCTATTGAAACTTTTTTAAAAATTTAAATAATTTATTTATTTTTTATATTTTGGAAATTAAAGTCACAATGTTTGATTTTTTTAGTTGGTTTGGGTGGGGGGTTTGACCCCATCATCCCATGTGAATAAGAAGAGAGCAGAAGCCAGGCTTCCTCTTTGTTCTTCAATATTAATCAACAAAACCCCTTGTTTGCTGCTGCCCGTAACAGACAAACTATCCACTTTAATTTCTTTCTTTCTTTTTTTTTTTACATGAAATTCATAAACCATTTTTAAAAATATAATATTAAAAGTCAGTAACAAAATGGTAAGAAAGGTAAAATAATAATTGCATTTACTAAGTAACAAAAGAAGGAATATTTTTCATAAACTTAGGGTCTGAACTCAACTGTGTGGTCTCACTCATATTCCCTATTTCATACCTCATCTTTTTCATTCATGGAAATTTGTTATTAATGTCTTTTTTTTGGTTCTTTATAATAATTTCAGTGTCTTCATCGCATCTCACTTCATCTTCTAATTAATTAATACCTTAAATTGTTTTTACCCCCTTTTTTTTTCTTTTTCTTTTTTTCTTTTTTGCTGTTGAACTGTTGGGGTAAAATTAGAACATCAATGGGCCCTCTTTCTTTGAAAGGAACTATGCTTTCAATTCCTATACTTTCACTTTAAATATCATCATCAACCCATTTTCCTAGGGAATTTATGTTACTCCCCAACTCCGAAAACTTTTCAGCTAATCTTCATTTTCCCTTTCTGTTTTTTAGCCTTTAATCAAGAACAATAAGGTTTCAGAACATGGAAGAAAGCCCATCTCCACCCACGCGGCGTCGGAGATTCCCCGTCGATGATGGGGTCGATCTAATTGACTGCTCCGGCAAGCATTGCCGGTCTTGCACTGCTGGCTTGGTGGCTGATTGTGTCGCTGTCTGCTGCTGCCCCTGCTCTGTGGTTAGCTTCTTGGCTCTGGCCCTCGTCAAATTGCCGTGGATGATTGGCCGGCGGTGTCTGCAACGGGCGAGGAAGAAGAGGAAGTTGATTCGCCGGAAAAGGGAATGCGATGGCGCTGCGGCTGCGTCGGAAACTGGTTTGGGTCCGGCGAGGGAGGAAGGGCTGCCGGAAATTGTGCCGGGGTCCGTCGAGGAAGAAGAAGAAGAAGAAGAAGAAGAAGAAGAAGAAGGGGTGGGGAATTTTAGTGCGAGATTTGAAGCAGAAAGAATTTGGTTGCAGTTGTATCAACTGGGTCAGTTGGGTTTTGGAAGAGTTTCTTTCACTGGGAATTCAAATCAATGGCCAAATTCCAATTAAATCAAATTTAATCACTAATTTGTATAGTTATAAGGTAAATTATTAATTTAGTATCTTGTTTTTCACCTTCTTTTTCTTTTTATTTATTACGTTTTCAAAATCACAAATTTGTTTTTGGTCATATAAATATTATTATTAGAGATGTCCATTTTTAAAGAAATTTCCTTACTTTGTTATTTACTTTTATTAGAATGTGTTTTGTGTTGTTTCTTATTCCAAGAGGTTTGATGAGGTGAGCAACCAAGCAAGCATCTTCTCTTGCCTTTGAGCGTGCATTTCATCATCCAACCTTATTTTTTGGGTGTATACTCTTACCTTTTTCTTCCTCACTTCCTGCACTTCATCAATTATTCGATAACATCACTATAATATATCTAACCGTTTTACATCACTATTAAATTTATACTTCAAATTTATTATCAACTATCATTAAGAGATATCATTCATATTGTATCAGTCTCATTAAATTATAAATCGTACTTACAAGTTAACTTGTTTTTACACTTCAAAAAATTGTTTTTTCTATTATATTATGTATGAGATAATAGCAAGGACAAAGTGGGCCAGAGTGGTACGTTACTATTATTATTTATAATGTCCAAATTATCACTAATCAACTTTTAAAGAATTTAAAATATATATATATTTAAAATTGAAAATTATTTAGGTTGGGCTTAAAATAAATATACTTGGAACAAGACAATAATAATATCACAAAATTTTCCAAAGGGCGTGTTTAATAGGAAATGAAATATAATGAGATTAAAGTAGTAATTAATTTGAATTAAAGAAATTCATCCAAAATTTATTAGGATTTGAAGTTTCAAAATTAAATTAAATATTGACCATGTGAAAAGATTAAAATAAAAACAAAATTGTTGGAGAAAAAAAATGTGGGGGTTGTCCACGTGGCAGAAGGCAGTGCATTAGGCATCGAGACTGGAGGGAAACTGAGATCGTTAGAAGAGAGAGGGCTTATCGCGAAAAATCGATTACAGAGACGACAATGGAGGGAGAACCGACTCGAATAATGCTTGCTGTGAATCAGTCAACCATCAAGGGTTATCCACACGCTTCCATAAGCAGCAGTAGGGCCTTCGAATGGACTCTCCAGAAGATCGTCCGTTCCAACACCTCCGGTTTCAAGTTTCTCTTCCTTCATGTTCAAGTGCCCGACGAAGACGGTTTGCTCTCCTTCTCTCGATTTCGTTACTCTTTTCTTGTTTTTTTTTTTCTTTTTTTTTCTCCCTTTTATGACCTCTTTGCTTGATGCTGATTGACTTTGTTGAGATGCGATGTTGTTCTGTTCGTTGTTTCTTGTTTTGCTGGATCTTGAACTTGGTTAGATGAACTCTGACTTTTTATATGACGAAATATTGGTTGATTGAAAGCATAGAAGGGAATTGTTGTTCTATAAGTGGTGTACAAGGGCATTTAGTCTCGTATTTGATTCAAGACGTACGGCTTATATGTCTTTCTTGTGATCTATGCCCTAGAGTTTTGTTTTGTCCTTGATCTGAACTTGCAAATTAAACGCTGAGAAATATAGAGATCGCACTGATGACTGATTTCGATAATTAGCATGTGCATCATGGATTATCCGCTTTAAAATTTATTGGAGTTTCGAATCTACAAATTGGACACGAGCTTCCTCTATCTTGTTCTTGGTGTATTTCACCGACGACTTTGTATGGTAGAGCGATCCAAGTTTTCTAACTCTTTTGAAAGTATCAGAATTTTGAACAATGATTTGAACTGTAGACTAATGCAAATTTTTACATTTCACTCGATCACATTTCTGTGAAATATCTTTTATATAATTATACAAAACAAAATTCAGTAGAACCAGCAAGTATAATACATGTATTCACGTTGCAATATTCAGTTTTAAGCAACTTTTTCCTCGAAGGAAGCGCTCTCCCCTACTTATATAATCATATGTCCTACAAATAAATAACAAGCATCTCAAACAAAAAACTTCCTGATCTAATATTACGGCTTGTTTGAATTTTTAGTGTTTAAATAAGTGTTATGTGGAAAAAAAGAAATCTTTTAAGCACTTAGAAAGTTTTTGAAATATGCTCTTAATCTTCAAGTCTTATCACACAACGATCTAATATTACGGCCTGTTGTTCTGGTCTTGTAAGGTTTTGACATGCCCCATTTTCAAACATGCCCCAAATTTAAATTAAAAAAAAAAAAAACAAATTAAAAGACATGCATCCAAATCACATTTAGTGCACGTTTTTTCTTATAAATACTCTGTCCAAAAACAATATGATGTTTGTGCTTCCCTTAACTCCTATTTGGTTTCTAATTTTTTTTGCCATAATTGGATGTTTTTTCTTAGAATGAGTTTGAATAGCTTTTGAGACGCTGGAAAGTACTTAAATCATTTTTGGTTTTTCGTTTGATTATCAAAGTAACTTTAAAAATTCTCGAAGCCCTTGTCTTTAAGATAGCACATAATTTTGCTCAAGGTAAATGGCGAATAGACTATTTTCTTGTGTGGTTTTATACATATATATGCACACACATGTAGTTATGTATGTATAAACCATTTACCATCTTCTTGAAAATTTTAGATTCTTTGGCCATTTCTGAGAAAGATCATCTCCTTTTTTACTGTTTCATAATAGTTCTGAACATAATGTTTACTGGTTTCGTTAGAAGGTACTATATTATGCTATGACTCAAGGATGTGGATTATATTTTGTACAGTATTACTATGATGCTATATTTCTTGGAATAGTTTCGATAGTTTGACCTTCTTGATGACTTTTTTCATCTCTCTGATTTTTTCTTCTTTTTTACAAGGGAACTGAGGTGTGGGATGGCAGTGTACGCACCATATTTCAAAATGATACTGATTCCACATATCACATGTTAGAAAATAACTAGTAACCGAAACAGTACTCTTCTCATTTTATTTCTTGTAGGTTTTGACGATGTAGATAGTATCTTTGCGTCACCTGATGATTTTAAGGACCTGAAGCAAAGGGACAATGCACGAGGGCTTCAACTACTGGAGTTCTTTGTCAATAGATGTCATGAAATTGGGGTAATCCTTGTTTATACGACTTTTTCTGCTGGATTGATCTATCAATGTAAATATGCAAAATTATGATCACACTTTACCTACTGTTGGTACGCCAGAAAAATCAAACAATAATATTGTCTGTTTAAACACCAAAAAGAAGGCAATGTTAGGATAATCTTTTTTGGATAATTAGACATACTATTTTCTTTCCCGACAAAGTTCTATTGCAATTGGTCGTGTTCATTGTTTGTTGAAATACTTTTTTGTAGGTTGCTTGTGAAGCTTGGCTTAAGAAGGGCGATCCCACTGAAGTAATTTGCCTCGAGGTGAAACGCGTGCAGCCTGATTTTCTAGTTGTGGGAAGCAGGGGCATTGGCCGGTTCAAAAGGTGTGCTTGAGTTGTATTAGCTCTTCTACATTACTGTTTCTAAGTATAAGACTCAATTTATCATTTCTTAGCCTGTTTTTACTTAATTCCTTGATGGCATTGGAAGCCTAACTGCCTGGAAAATCCGCTTGGCGATGTCTGCAGGGTCTTTGTAGGCACTGTAAGTGAATTCTGTGCAAAACATGCCGAGTGCCCTGTAATTACAGTCAAACGCACGGTGGACGAGACACCTGAAGATCACGTCGACGACTGACTTTCCAGCCGTTATAACTTGTAGCTGTGCCATTTTGATTTCATTTTATCTTGTTGATAAATAAGAAACTATTGGTGAGCGTGGTCGTGTGTATTTAGTGTGCAAAAGTTGCCAATTCGCCATTGATTTGCATTTGTGTTGTTGGTTCATTGTTTGTTCAATTGATTGATGAACAATTGGGAATTGGTAACAGACTTTTCATGTGAGATATAGCTAAAACCACTCTCTCTAGAAAAAAAAAGGTCTTTTGTATGAAATTTCAAGACAAGTTTATGTAGTTTTACAGACCCGATGGTCAAGGAATAAGAGGAAGACAACGATTTGGCGAACAGCAGCAACATAAAGCAAGCAATATGATTCTAAGTGGAAATATGTCAGAACGACGAGTTCACAGTTCACATCAAGAAGAAAAAAAGGGGAAATTCAGCAAAGACTGAGTGAGTTAATCTAAAACAAACACTTTTTCCCCCAGCAGCATTAAACAATGGCGATTTTAGCTCCAGCTTCTTCAAGCTGTTTCTTGGCATCCTCAGCCTCTTCTTTCGAAATCCCTTCCTTGAACTTCTTGGGCAAACCTTCGATGAGTTCTTTGGCTTCCTTCAAAGCCAAGCTTGTCAATGCCCTCACTGCCTTAATCACTGCAATTCTAGCATTGCTTGGCACGTCCTCAATGACCACATCGAATTCCGTCTTCTCCTCCACCGCCTCCGCGGCCGCGTCCCCGGCTGCGGCGCCGGGTGCTGCGACGACGACGGCGGGGGCGAATGCGGCAGCGGAGACCCCAAGCTTATCTTGAAGAAAGTCGACCAGAATGCGGGCTTCTTCGAGAGTGAGATTGGAGATGTCGGCGCCGAGCTTTTCAATTTTCTCAGGGGCTGACACGGCGGCAATGGGACGGAGGAGGGTGGCGCGGTGGGAGGTAGCAGTGGAGGAAGGGTTAAAAGGAAATTGGAGAGTTGTGGAAATGGAGGACTGAGTGGAAAAAGAGGAATGGGAATAAGAAAGGTGCAGTGGGGAACGGAGGGAGGTGAGAGTGGAGAGTGTGGAAGCCATTTTTCTTTCTTCTTCTGATGCGGAGAAGGAAGAAGATAGGATAAGGAAGTGGTTGGGAGAATTGGATTATAGATGGCGTTTTGTTTGATATTTTATTTTCCTTAAGTACCCCTCTTCTTTTTCACTTATTACTGCCAACTGAGGGTTTGCTGCTCTGCTTCAGTTGAGGGTAAAATCGGTACATGGTCCTAGAATAAAAAGTTGACAAAAAGGGGGCATTCCGAGAATCGAACTCGGGACCTCTCGCACCCAAAGCGAGAATCATACCACTAGACCAAATGCCCGATTTACGAGAGAGTGTTATATATAATTTATTTACATACTAGCTTTAAAAATTAATTGCATCAAAAAGTAGTCTTCAGTTATTAGAACCAACGAGGAATGGAAGTCCCTGTTTCAAGTTTAGAGGAAAAGTTCCTTCACACTTGAGAGAAGATGCGACTTAAAAAACTATGAAACTGAATCATCTTAAAGTGTGTGAAACTCTTCATGGAATAAATGAATACACCGTCAAGTAAATTATAACTTACTATTTCTATAATTGAATATAACATTCAATATTCCCTACTATTATGAATGATACCAAGAACAAGATTGGTACATCATCACAACTTTAATGCTTGATGCTTCCTCAACTTGGTAAACGAGTCTTCTTACCATCGGCGACGTCTCCTCCCGTACCAATATGCAAATGCAGCAATCGATCCAGCAAGGATAACCCCGGCGGTCGCATGCCATCTATACATTGGTGTTTCTAGAACAGGGTAAGGACCAAGACCAGAGCCAGAACTACCGACGTTAATGACTTGTGTCGGAGGTGGTTCACGACTAACTGCCATAGCATAGCTCAGTCCCTGGCTTTCTAACTTGGTTAAATCCTCAATTGCAGGTTTCAGACTGGTGATCATCGCTATAGCTTCATACTCTTCTTTTGTTCCACCTTCAAGAAAAGATCCAACTAGGTGACCTTTGTTTACCCAATATGCTCCAAATGTGTTTCCTGAGAAATCCCCAAAATGTACAGCCTCCCCAACGTTGTCCCCGTAAAATTGCCACGAGAGTGTGAATACCCTGGAGTAGAAAAATGGTACAACGTCAAAGTCACCGGTTTTTTCTGGGTCCATAATGGCAGAAACCGCATGTCTAGCAGATTTTCTGGCAGAGTCGACATGCTCAAGTCTCCGGGTTTCACTGAAAAGCTTGACTGGAAATGCTGCTACATCTCCAACTGCATACACCGAGCTGTTACTCGACTGCATCTTTCCGTTTACCTTGATTCCGCCCTTTTCCATGGTCAGCTGGCCTTCAAAGAGGCTTGTGTTTGGGCGAATTCCTATTCCAACAACAACCATGTCTGCAGGTAGCCGTTTTCCATCTCTTAGGTTGACAGCAACAACCTGAAAATGGTTAGATAATCAGTCAAATCTTCAGCTACACCGAAATCGGTATTCTGAATTCACAGTGTCTAGCCTGTCTGTCATTCATTCTCAAGGAATCTTCAGGAAAAACTTCAAGAAACAAACAATTTTATGGAATCCAGGATCAAAGAATGCTACAAAATTTTCATTGGGATTGGTTCCTCTTCCTCTCATCAAATGCATAATGTTTCACCTCATTATATCCCAATCACTAAAGAAGCGTCTGTAGTACCTTTCCATTAGAATCCATATCAAATGATGTCAAGACAGTTCCTTTGACAAACTCAACTCCTTTAGCCTTGTAATAATCTTCATAAAAGCTTGCAATCTTGGGGGTAAATAGACGAGGCACTATAAAGACAAAAAGATCCTTAAGCTTAGGAATAATCTATTCATTTCCCAATAGTACAATATAGGGCAGATCAATAGTGCATACATCAAGAAGGGTTAAATGACTAAGTAATAAAAGAAAGCATCATAATTAAGTTACTTACTGCACTGTGCTTCAGGGAAAACCATTGTTACATTAATTTTGTTAATCACTAGAGATGCAGCACACTCCATTCCTATGTAGCCACCACCAATTATAACAGCATTACCGCGTGAACACGAATTCATTGCATCGACAAGCCTATTTGCATCCGTTAGGTTCCGTAGATAACATACATTTTCTGCATCTGATCCATTCACTCCAAATTCTTCTAGCTTCAAAGCCTACACTCAAATTAAAAAAGAAAAAAAAGGACTTGAGCCAAGAACTATGATTCTATGAATATTACTAGATTACCATGAACTTTGAGATCTATTTAATTGGTGAAATGCATCTCCATGATTCTTAACAAGTTTTGACCACTTAAACTCAGATATTAACTGAACAAAGGGAAAAAAATAGACTATCAGCAAATGTTAAGGGTGAATACATGGAAATTTGTGCTATCGTTAAAAGATTGGTTCTATACCCGAGCACCTGTTGCAACGATGAGAATCTTGTAACTAATAGTTTCTCCAGCTGCTGTTAACAAGGTCCTGCGCCTAACATCAGCTGATATAACTCGGGTCCCAAGAACTAATTCAATACCTGAAAAGAAGACAGAACCATACAACATCTTACAAAAGGAGAATTGGTACCAGGCTGTACAACTTATATCTGCCTGAATCAAGAAATATACTAATATCTACATGAAAAGGCAGAAAGGAGAACAAATGATCTAAACAATCGTATTCTCCTTTGATTTCTGGTTCTAAAGTCATGTGCATTTCAATATACAAAGGGTAAAAGGTATAAATAGATATGAAATGACTCAATAAAAGGTGAACAGAAGTAGAAAATGATTAGCATGCTCAAATGGTTCGTAATCTTTCTTCATCTACTTATATTAGAATTGCAGATCTAGCAAGGTAGATAGGAATTACTTGCCATGTTCTTTGTACCATTTTGGCGTTAACCGTTCCTGATTAGCGCCAACACATGTGTGGAATGCTGGAAGGCGTGCTGGAGCTGCAAATTAGCATAAAATTCTACATTACAAATGTGTCCTATAGAGCAACAAACCAAAAAGCAAAAACACTGGCAAAAGGTTATTTCTGACGCCACTCAAGATGGAATACAAAAACTAGCATCCTGCAGAATGATAGATAGAACAAGGCTAGCTAGACAGAGCAACTGGCCTATGCCTGAGGAAACGTCTTGTTTTCAACAATTCTGGAAGAAATGTATCCTTAAAGGCCTTAGTCGCCTCAAACTGAAGACGTTTGTTCAATTTCCTTTTCTACCCTATGATACATAAATAACCAGTGATACAGCAAGATTAGAAGTCCTACCTTCTGGAAGTAAATACCCTTTACTTAAAGCAGGCCTCTCATAAGGTGCAACCTATCAGAGATTCAAAGAAATTTTGTGTCATAAAAAATGAAAGATAATTCCCACTTGACACATAGCTACCAGATGAAAGAAAACAACAAACATGCATCTTTTAATATAACCTTACTGCTTTTATAAAAAAAAAAAGAAAGACACCAATTTATCCTCTAGTTACATGATTAATCCAACTCAGATGCTCCACTACAACAGGGAATCAGCACTCAGCGGAGAAATTCCGTGTCATATATGGTAATTAATGATATTCAAATCATACGGAAGAATTACGAGTACCAAAAACAGTCAAATCTGTAATCTGTTAGTTCCATATTAGGCTATAAAATTTCAATCAAGTTAATGGAATTTAGTATATCTCCAGTTGATGACAAATACATACATACATACAAAACAGTATAAGAACAAAAAGGATTAAAGAAATCTTTCCATTTACAAAAGGAAGGCTGAATGGGTGAATTGAGTTGAGAAAAGTCGACTCCTATCTTGAACTAAAAGTGGAATCTCGTAAGTGCCTCCCTAAGAAACGCGATAATTCTTAAATGAAACATTGCAAGCAATAAAAGGAAATAGAGAGATGGAGGAAATGAATTGCAGACAGTTTCCTCGGAAATTATGCAGAGTTCGCCATGAGAGACCCCCCTCTTCGTAAATTCAAGGGCTGCATATCCAGATGCTACACCTCCACCAAGAATCACATACACGAACGCCCTTCCCATCTCTCCCTCTCTTTTTTGTTATTGGTCTTCGGAGGTGCAGCCGATTCTGGACAACATAGCCCTCCCCTCCCTTGGAAGCACCCCAACAAACAAGATGATAAAAATGCAATATTTTATTTGTTTTCTTTCCAAGCTCAAATTACCATTTTAGTCCATCCAAGCTCTCTCTACATAATCCCAATTTATTATTATCAATTTTTTATCTTCTTATTCCATTATATCTTCCAAAATATTCTGAAAAAGTTGCCATTATTTACTTCTTTTATGAAAATGATTTCCAAATATCTACCCGACCTCACCTCTCCCGTAGGGGAGAATAAAATATTTCTTATAAGAGGTAAAAATTTCTCCCTCACAAATGTATTTTAAAATTGTGAGATTAATAACTATGTGTAACAAGTTAAATAAACAATATCTACTAGCTGGAGACTTGAACGGTTATTTTAGCATAGAGTCATTCATGGAACATTGAGCTAGCACAGACGCCAAGTTCCCAATGGACACCAACATAGCTTATAAAGATGTGAAAACTTAGCAGATACGTTTTAAAATGTTAATACTGATGACGATATGTAATGGATTAAACATATAATATCTACTCACGGTGAACTGGACTCTTAACTAATAAACTATATTTTAATGTCATAATTTCATATATGTTCTAATATATATTAAATATATATTCTAATAAATTCATTAATTTAATTGGTTTTATGCTGAATAATTATCGAAATTCGAAATGTTTGAGGTTACGATTTATATAATAAAAAAAAACTAAATAAAATTAAAGGCTAAAATGGTAATTTTACTTTCTTTTAAATATCATCTTGGTACATAAGGGATAATCGGTTTCCATTTCCAGCCATCCTACATTGGCGACATGTGGCAGTTAATGAAATGACTGAGCTACCATTTTTATCCTTCTAATCCAGTGCTTCTGGGTGTACCAAAATCATAGATGATAGAGCAATCTCAGCCATCGATTATTTTTCAGGGGTGAGATACCTTTTACGCCAAGAAAACCCGCAGAAGTGGGACCAAGGGG